AGAAATCAGTATAATATGCTGATTTGCTGCTCAAAAAACATTACTGATCATATTTATAAAAATCATATTTTTGAACTGTGATATATGTTATTTTTCAGGATTCTTTGATGAATAGAGAGTTCAAAAGAACAGCGTTTATTTGAGACAGAAATCATTTGTAAGATTATAAATGTCTTTACTGTCACTTTTGATGAATTTATTGCGTCCTCGCTCAATAAAAGTATACAAAGTATTACTGACCCCACACTCTTGAACAGAAGAGTATATAGCTAAAATCCTAAGAATGTTTAAAGACCACAAAAAGTATCTTGTCAAAAGAGACTGTTAACACTGAAATGTTAATACCTGTCGGATTTGCATGACAGCCTTCGAATGATCACCAGCTGTCATTTTATCCAGCAAATCATCCACAAGCCTTTTGGTAAAACTTCCAGAACCCTTAACAAACTCCTGCAGACTGAAGCACACACAGAAAATCCCATCACACAACTGAGTCCAACGCAGCAGTCCACGAACGCCGATAGACAGGTTTGATCTAAACACCTGAGAGCGCACTGGACCCCGGTCTCGTCTCCGTAAGCCGAGTACAGCATGTCCATCTCCTCTGGAAGTAGATCAGGATAGACGGAGTTGTTCTGAAGAGTCTGAGTGTTGTACGCGCTGCTCAAGAACGTCACTGAAACCAAAGACAAAGACCAAGACGTGAATCGTAAACGTAAAGACTCTGGTTGTGTTTCTGATTGAATTCCTGACTCTTCTGGCATTTTAGCGACAGTAATGTGATTCACAACCCTAAAAATAATCTTCACGTTTGAAAACCTGTTACCTTTGTGTCTCCTGTCGTCTTTAAAGCCCAGCGACGTCAGTCCAGGTATGAGCTTGTTCGCCAAAGAGCTCAAATCTACAGGAAGAGTCTCTTCCTCTGTGAACAATAATCAATATATTCTTCAGACACATGATGTTATTGCTCTGGATAACCTTTCTGCAGCAAAGTCAGAAACCTGTGTTATATTTAACCCTATAAAAGCTACTGTATCATAATTGATAGGCAGATTTCTAAGGCCTCTAAATGATCAAACTTTGTCGTCTGATTGATAGTTTAGAGTTTTTTT